AGAGCTGGTTAATACGATAAAACGATGAAAATATTTTACCCTCAGTACTACCTGGGGTTCAACCGTGAGGTTTAGTCGGGTAGCTAAACAAAAAAAGAAAGTTAAAACATTTTGATAAATATATATATATATATATATATATATATATATATATATATATATATATATATATATTAAGAAATGGACAAAGTCCGACAATTTATTTATTAAAAGACATTTTTATGTTTAACGTTCTTTTTATAGATACAAGTATTTAAGTAAATGCTCTGTTTATAATAAACAGTATTAAATAACATTTACCGGCCTGAATGTCGAGAAATTTTCATAGTTAAGGCACGTCAGCGTAAATGACGGTTCCGTATAGGATGCAGGTTCGAATCCTGTCAAAGGATGAATATTTTCTATGAAAATTTCTCGGACATTCAGACCGGTAAATGTTATTTAATACTGTTTATTATAAACAGAGCATTTACTTAAATACTTGTATCTATAAAAAGAAAACGTTAAACATAAAATGTCTTTTAATATATATATATATATATATATATATATATATATATATATATATATATAATATAGGTAATGAAAAGTTTATTAATCCGTATGGATAATCCCAAGGAGGATGTAATCCAGAGAGCTCAATGTCAAAACAGGGCTAATATTAATTGAAAATAGATTTAAAATTATACTTATCTCCCAATTCCTTCTCTAATTTCGACCATATCTATTGTCCTTTTTCTCCCCTCCTCTATCTCTTTAAATCAACTTAAAAGTACCCCTCAAAATGTTTAAAGATAATACGTAAATTTAGAACCATTTTTATGCTTGGAAATGGGATCTGAGGAACCAGGAAAAAAAAACTTTCCTAGGGGAAATAAAATATAATCAAGGGACCGATAAGTTTGGGTGTTTTCTAATTATATAGAGTCCGAAAGTTTACAAGAAGAAAATATCTGATTTCGTTATCAGATTTTATAAAAAGGCACTCACTTCCTGGAAAAGATAGAAAAGATCAATAAAAAAGCTTCAGACATCACAGTCAGAATGGGAATTAACGATAGAATCCAGAAGCTATTAGAAATGCTGGCGTTCTTAACTGTTAAAGATCATAAGAACAATTTCTATAGTTCACTATTTACATTGCTCAGATTATCATCCTCATCTTTATTGCCATATTTATCACAACGTTTCGGCCGTTGTACTCTCCGGCCTTCTTCTTCAGGCTGTTGAAATATCGAACTGAGCCCTTTATTTCGCTGTCTGGGGTAGACTGTTTTAGTTGCACGTGCCATATCTAATGGATGTCAGTTATCAGTATCTCCTGTTAATTCCAGGTATTGAACTCACACTCTTTGGGTCCTGTCACTGGATCTAACTAACGCCTTTATCCACTGTGCAATGTCTCCTTGAGGACATCTATGTATGAATTTCTGGGTATTATGAACCTAATGTCTTCAGCAACATTTTTTTACCAGTGTTCATATAGCAATTTTTGCTGTCATCATTTCATTTTTTTTATACCAGAGCTCATATTGCAATTTTCGTTGTTATTATTGCTTTTCTCTGGCACTCCTTATTACTGGTTCCAATATTGTATTTATTTCTATGCTTGGTCGGCTCAGGAGATTTTTGTGGCCTAGCATATGTGCTGATTCCTTAAGGTTACGAATTTTCCAATAATGTTCTATGTCTATGATTTCAACCTCATCCCACCAACAGATACATAATATAGACAGATACTGAATGTCTATATTTGCCCATCTTTCCGCTTAATAATTACATCTAAGACAGACAAATCTTACTTGGATTTATAAATTCAAATAGCAACACAGAAAACGTATTTGTTTTTCACAGTAACTGACCACAATTTTGATATATGGAATGCTACTTTGATTAAAAGTGAGAATAATCCACTGAGACGAAAATGTCTGCAATGTGCCCTTGTTTGCAAGTGCAGCCATAATAAATTTGCGTCCAGGCTCTTACAATATATCACAAATCTTGATAGATTTTATATTGCCACAGTGTGGGATAACCAGGAACAAAGTTTGTGGGGAGAAATAGAAAAAGAAAAGGAATACAGATGATTTCGGCGAGATGAAAAATAAAAAAATAAAATTGTCTAACTTTGGCCTCCTGGCTCTCAAAACAAAAAAAGTCGAAATGAATTTATTGAAACAAAACAAGTTCAGTTGACCATTGATGACAATCCCAGAACAAAGCAACAATATACAATTTTTTTTTCTATCCTCTGCCAGCCGCAAGCATTACCTCGAACCATGGCCAGTGAGACACGCTGCAAGAGCCACTCCGTTTCGCGAGGCTCATCCCTTAATCGAGACGCAATCGCGCCAATCCTCCGAAGTAACGCCATTGAAGGAGGGCCAATAACCCCAGAAGTCTCCAAAAATATTCTTTCAAAAGATTTTGAAATTACCTGCGTTTCTCGTTTCGTGCGCATGGGCAGGCGTTAGCACCGTCATCAAAGCCCAGTTCTATGAAATCCTAACAGATGAAACGCATCACAAAATAATGAAAACTTTCCAGTTTGTCATGTTTTCTAAATACTGTTTGTTGGGATATAAAATTATACAAAATATATACGAAATTCCAGAAAATATATGTAGAATATTAGAGCAGCAACGCAGGTAGATCAATGGAGAGGATCTAATGAAAGCGTCTCCTGGTTCGATAAGATCGAAGATAAGAAGCAGGTATTTATAAAACATGATATAGTTAAATACTCAAATGAAATCTGTGGACAAGACGAATCGGTATAAGATGACTGTTGTGGTAGGATGCACCTAATTTGCATAGTAGAGTACCGACCATATAAATATGGTTGGTACCGGGAAGAGAGGGAGGAATTAAGAGATTCAATCCAGAGACTCTGCCCGACTGCGACTCAGTCAACACATTCTCCAGGAACGGTCTTACTAGGAATATACAAACGACTATATGTAAATATTGTGTACACTTTCTTGTTTCAATACATTTTGTTCTAAGTACATTTTGTGTTGCATTATTATTCCATGCATTAGTCAAGTTTCAACAATGACAATTAGAGAAAAATCTTTTTTATTCTTTTTTTTTTTTTTTTTTGCCGACGCGTTTCCGTCTCCCAACATTTTAAAGGCAAAAATGAAAGCAAAATGTTTTTGCTACTATAGTTACATTAAAAAATCCAAATTAAAAAAAAAATCGAGATCGCTTAATAATAAGAGTTTTTTTCAAAAAAAAAAAAAGAGTTTTTTTTTTAAAAAAAAAACTTTATATTAACCAGAAAGACGCTTACGCAGAAGCGTCTCTAGCTTTTATTTTAAATTTGGATTTTTTAATGTAGCTATAACAACAAAAACATTTCGATTTCATTTTTGTCTTTAAAAATTCGGGAGACGAAGCGCGTCGGCAAAAAAAAGATTTTTTTTTTCCAATTTTCATCATACAATAATTTGTCTTGTCCACAGAAATGATGCAGAAATATAACTACATTGTCGACGTTGAAAGAAAAAAATAACTCTTAGCATAAAGAAAATTTACATTAACCAGAAAGAGTCTTAAGGAGAAGCGTCTCTTGTTCTTTTTTTTTAAATCCACACTCCTTAAAACCTCCTGATCAGAGACCTTGCTGTCGAAAGTAGTTTATCATCTAAACCAGGATGTGGATGTAGTTTATCGTCTTACCCAGGAAACTTCATTTGCCGGGGCTCTTTACTCGTCTGCAGAGGCGCAGTTGGCGTATTCTGAAGCCCCAGCCGGCAGAGCGGATAATACATGCTCTTCTTTTTTCACGAGAATTCTAACATTAAATGTCCCAATTGTAATATCCTCATACGTTATTGAAGCCATTGGCAAAGACTTAAATAAGTTATTGTCAACTGTTAACAGTTTTAAATTCAGAAGTAAGCGTTAAGACGGTTAAAGCCAATCATTGGTCTCATTAGTGTAGACTTTGTTTTAGAAAACTACTCCAATATACCAGAACACCGGAAATAAGAACACCGGAAATGATAACACAGGAAATGATGGGCGTAAAAGTATGAGGATAAGGGTAGGTGAAAAGAAAAAGAACATTTTTATTTAGTTTTATATCACTTATCCGGGTTAATAGGTACTTAAAAAAATATTTTTTTAAATATCTGTATCCTTTCTTTCATTTTATAAAGCACCTTTATCAGGATACGTGGCAACAGCTAATTTCTCTTCCTGGCACAGCCAGCAACAATTACCACGAATTCTGCTAGGCTTTGCGGTCGAAACCCGGGAGGCGACGTTGGCTGGCGTTTTAGCCATTTCTTAAATATCTTAGCTCTACATATATGAATTTGAATTTTGTTTAAACCAATTTTCTCTTGTCTATAGTTTTTAGGTGTAGCTATGTATAGTCTTCTTTTTCTATACCGATCTCTCATCATGAAGAGAAAAAATCCCTGTTTGTTAGTAGCTGTAAACTACAGGAGTGAATGACTGTTTCTGAAGAAAGGGAACTTTATCTTTAGTTTTCTTTTTTCCTTTTTTGTTGTTCATCGTTAATTTAGGTCAGTCCTAGTGTTGGTCAAACGGCCTCTTTCAAGTTGTATTAAGACACAGGACGGGAGATTCCTGACTTTAAGAATTCCCTTCTTTGTCATTTTGCTAGTTTCATTGATTGCTGGGAATGAGATGTTTGTGTTAAGTGTATGTTATCTTTTATTTCTTTTGAGTGTATATATATATATATATATATATATATATATATATATATATATATATATATATATATATATGTATGTATGTATGTATGTATGTATGTACAGGTGAAAAGTGGATATACAGTAAAAACAAAATCCGCAATAAGTTATTAGATTGATTATACAAACATATCCATAATATCAATAATGGTATAATACTGTATACCTAATTTTCGCTATATATATATATATATATATATATATATATATATATATATATATATATTAAATGTGGATTTTTAAAAAAAATATATTATGCTTTATTTTCCATAATTTTCTTACACGCGTTTCCGGTTTTGCGATCTTCATCAGGCAAAGAGTAGATATTTCCACATATTCTTAAAATGAATTAATTTTTCTTGTGTTTTTCGATTTGAAATATTCTCGATTTATATGACATTCTCTTCTCAACGTCATCAAAGCCCAGTTCTCTGAAATCCTAACAGATGACATTCTCTTTGTGCATTAGTGACCCAAATGTCTGTCTTGAACTGGCAGTGAAAGAATTCTTCGTGAAGGGTAATAAATCAATTAAGATTGGTCCGATATATATATATTCTATGAAAATTTCTAGGACAAACAGGCCGGTAAATATTGTTAATACTGTTTATTATAAACAGGACATTTACTTAATTATTTGTATCTATATATATAAAAAAAATCAAAGCAGCGAGTAACTCGAAATTTCATGCAACAAAAACAGACTATCCTTATTGTTTCGTGCGTGTATTGATTGATATATTGAAAAGTAATTGTCATCTTTGATAATGGCTTATGTAAGCCAAAAGCTTAGATTGGATTTAAACATGTATCAATATGGTGATTTCCTTTCGTCTTTCAATGATAATATTATTAAGCTTATCAGACAATATGAAAGGAACTTACTTAAAGTAAATAGACAAAACATGTCTATAATATTTAATGAAACATGCATTAATATATATATATATATATATATATATATATATATATATATATATATATAAACTATTTGAATTTAAATTTGAAGAGGATGTCATATATTTATCTGCTTCTCTCTTTTGAGTGAATAAAATAATTTTAATCTTCAGTTGGCACTCCGTGACTTCTTTTAAGAAAAACCAACAGAAATGTCGGGATTTGATGGTTCCAGTATGGACGGCATATGGAAGCCGTTTGAGTGTCAGAAACGAACATTAGAAATGTGGGAGAAAGAGTGTGATTGTTGGAAGAATGTGGCCCAAATGTTGGCTGAGTCAGGAAGGAAAATGTCAGGGACGTTGTTTATTTTCTCACCTTCAGTATTAAAGAGCGAGACATGTGGCATATGGGATTAGGGACAGGGAAGAAAAAATAAACGCTGACCGATCAGAAAGGGATAAGACTGGGGGTGGGGAACAAACAGACTTACAGATAGATAGATAGATAGATAGATAGATAGGGACAAGTTTAGATAGATAGATAGATAGATAGATAGATAGATAGATAGATAGATAGATAGATAGATTCTTAAAAATATAGATGTTTAGAAACATCAGTTGCAAAGCAAATGCATAGATAAATATGCATTATATATATATATGTGTGTGTGTGTGTGTGTGTGTGTGTGTGTGTGTGTAGAAACTGAGATAGAAAGAAAGTGGAAAATAGAGGAAAACAAATATAATAACGGTGAAAAATAGTGTTATATTCAGAAAACTGGAAGAGAGACATATTCCCGAGATATGTACGAAAGGACTAAAATAGATAGATAGATAGATAGGGAGAATGAATTGATATATATATATATATATATATATATATATGTATGTATGTATATAGAGAGAGAGAGATCTGAAGAGATATGATAGAAAATACGAGGAGAGAAGGCAAGCTCAGATATAAGAATTTTAGATAGATAGATAGATAGATAGATAGATAGATAGATAGATAGATAGAAAGAAACGGAGTGAGATAGATAGATAGATAGATAGATAGATAGATAGATAGATAGATAGATAGATAGGGGAGGGAGAGAGAATGAACTGATAAATATAAAGTGAAAGTGTGAGAGAAAGAGAGATATTTGAAGAGTCGTGATAGAAAAATACGAAGAGAGAAGGCGAACTCAGATATGCAGATAAGAGTCTGAGATAGATAGATAGATAGATAGATAGATAGATAGATAGATAGATAGATAGATAGATAGGGGAGGGAGAGAGAATGAACTGATAAATATAAAGTGAAAGTGTGAGAGAAGAGAGATATTTGAAGAGTCGTGATAGAAAATACGAAGAGAGAAGGCGAACTCAGATATGCAGATAAGAGTCTGAGATAGATAGATAGATAGATAGATAGATAGATAGATAGATAGATAGGGGGGAGGGAGAGAGAATGAACTGATAAATATAAAGTGAAAGTGTGAGAGAAAAGAGATATTTGAAGAGTCGTGATAGAAAAATACGAAGAGAGAAGGCGAACTCAGATATGCAGATAAGAGTCTGAGATAGATAGATAGATGATAGATAGATAGATAGATAGATAGATAGATGGGGAGGGAGAGAATGAACTGATAAATATAAAGTGAAAGTGTGAGAGAAAGAGAAATATTTTGAAGAGTCGTGATAGAAAAATACGAAGAGAGAAGGCGAACTCAGATATGCAGATAAGAGTCTGAGATAGATAGATAGATAGATAGATAGATAGATAGATAGATAGATAGATAGAAGATAAAGAAAAAAATGAAAAATGAATTATATATATATATATATATATATATATATATATATATATATATATATACATACATATATATGTATATATGAATCTATATCTATGTATATATATATATATATATATATATATACATATATATATATATATATATATATATATATATATATATAGAGAGAGAGAGAGAGAGTTAGAGAGAGAGAGAGAGAATTAGACAGACAGACAGAGAGACAGAGATCTGAAGAGACATGATGAAAAGATACGAGGAGAGTAGACGAACCCAGATACCGAGAAAAGAGATTTAGATAGATAAATAGAGAGAGAGAGAGAGAGAGAGAGAGAGAAATGAACTGATATATAGAGAGAGGGTGTGTGAGGTAGAGAGACATCTGAAGAGACATGATAGATAAAAAATACGAAGAGAGAAGACGAACTCAGATATAAAGAGATTTTGATAGATAGATAGATAGATAGATAGATCGAACGAGAGAGAAAAGAGAGAAATGAATTGATATATATATATATATATATATGTATATATATATATATATATATATATTGAGAGAGAGAGAGAGATCTGAAGAGACGATAGAAAAATAGAAGACGAACTAGAGATAAGAGATTTAGATAGATAGATAGAGAGAGAGAGAGTGGGAGAGAGAGAGAGAGAAAGAGAGCGAGAGAGAGAAATGTACTGATATATATAGAGAGATTGTGAGTTAGAGAGACATCTGAAGAGACATGATAGGAGAATATGAAGACGAACTCAGATATAGATAGATAGATAGATAGATAGATAGATAGATAGATAGATAGAAAGAAAGAAAGAAACAGACTGAGATAGATAGATAGATAGATAGATAGATAGATAGATAGATAGATAGATAGAAAGAAAGAAAGAAAGAAACAGACTGAGATAGATAGATAGATAGATAGATAGATAGATAGATAGATAGATAGATAGATACGAACGAATTGAAATAGATCTTCTATGTGCCATGTCCGTTCATGAAGTTGGCGATCATGGTAAGTAAAATATTCCTGTCCTTTTTATTCCATAATATATATATAATATGTTATTTCACCTTGTTCTGCCATTTACTCAAGCTCACTAAATTGTGCGTTTTTTCCGCTCTCTCACTTGCCTTCAATCTGCCTTGTGAGTATCAGATCTTCCAAGCCCTCTTTCCTCATTATGTGCCCTAGATATTCAACAGTCTCTTCCTGATTTTATATATAAATTTGTCTACAATCTGAGAATGGATAAACAGTTTTTGACTGATCAGATCCCAAATTAAATGCGCAAATCGATGAAGGCGAGTCAATAGGTTAATTGTTTATTTGCGTTCATTTTGTCTTTTCTTGAATGTAAGTGCTCACGATTTCTCCTTTTCTTTTTGTTATCTTTATTTAACGTATGTGCTTACTTTTCGCAAATGGACGCGACAAAACTACGAAGAGACTCGAAAATAAACAAATCTTGTTCGTTGCTGGCCTTTTTTACCAACAGAAATTCTACCACAGCCATCAAAACACACGAAACGTCACAGATATCTTACACGCTCCCAATCAGTGTTTTTGTTTGACTCTTTCAGACGACAACCTTTCTAATACTGTCCTATAAATAGTCCCTTGTTTCCGGTTATCAAGTGAATTTAAATTTGATTTCATCCCGAGGTGTCTGACTTCAATTTTAACTTTGCAATATTCCGTGTTTAAAAAACCAAAATATATTTCTCTCAAAGTAAAAAAAAAAAAGAAAGAATGAAAAGAATAAAAGATAGAAAAGAATGAAAGAAAGAAGGAAGAGAAAGAAAGGAGGAGAATGAAAGAAAGAAGGAAGAGAATGAAAGAAAGAAAGAAAGAAAGAAAGAAAGAAAGAAAGAAAGAAAGAAAGGAGGAGAATGAAAGAAAGAAGGAAGAGAAAGAAAGAAAGAATGAAAGAAAGAAAGGAGGAGAATGAAAGAAAGAAGGAAAAGAATGAAAGAAAGAAAGAAAGGAGGAGAATGAAAGAAAGAAGGAAGAGAAAGAAAGAAAGAAAGAAAGAAAGAAAGAAAGAAAGGAGGAGAATGAAAGAAAGAAGGAAGAGAAAGAAAGAAAGAATGAAAGAAAGAAAGGAGGAGAATGAAAGAAAGAAGGAAGAGAATGAAAGAAAGAAAGAAAGAAAGAAAGAAAGAAAGAAAGAAAGAAAGAAAGAAAGAAAGGAGGAGAATGAAAGAAAGAAGGGAGAGAAAGAAAGAAAGAAAAAAGAAAGAAAGAAAGAAAGAAAGAAAGGAGGAGGAGAAATGAAAGAAAGAAAGAAGAGAATGAAAGAAAGAAGGAAGAGGATGAAAGAAAGAAGGAAAGAATAAAAGAAAGAAGAGAATAGAAGAAAGAAGGAAGGAAGAGAATGAAAGAAAGAAGGAGGAGAATGAAAGAAAGAAGGAGGAGAATGAAAGAAGGAAAGAATGAAAGAATAAAGGAAAAGAATGGAGAAAGAAGGAAAGGAACAAAGGGTGAGAATATTAGAAAGTCGGAAAGAAAAAAAGAAAAAATGAAACAAATAAAAAAGAAAAATTCCAGAGTAAAAAAGACAAAAGAAAGACAAAAGAAAGAAAGCAAGAACAAAAAAATACGGAAAGAAAAAAACAAAGGCGAGAAACAAAAAGAAAGAAACAAAAAATACGGAAAGAAAAAAACAAAGGCGATAAACAAAAAGAAAGAAACAAAAAATACGGAAAGAAAGAATAGAAACAAAGAAAGAATGAGAAGATGAAAGAATATGCGAAAAATGAAAGTTAGAAAGAAAGAAAAATGAGATTGAAAGTAAAAAGGTCGAAGTTAGATAAAAAGAAAGGAAGAAAAAACAGAAAGATAAAAACGAAGAAAGAAAGAAAGAAAAGAAGGAAAGAAAGAAAGAAAAGAAGGAAAGAATGAAAGAAAAGAAGGAAAGAAAGCAGGAAAGAAAGAAGAAATAAATAAATAACGGAAAGTAAAATGGAAATAGAGACAAAAACAAAGAAAGAAAGAAAGATGGATAGAAAGAAAGAATGAATGAAATAAATAAATGAATAACCGATTGTAAAACGGAAAATTGACAAAAAGTAAGGAAGAAAGACAGACAATTAGAAAGAAAGAAAGAAATATAGAAGAGAGAAAAAAGAAAGAAAGAAATAAAGAAAGAAATAGAGGAGAAAGAAAAAAAGAAAGAAAGAAATAAAGAAAGAAATAGAGGAGAAAGAAAAAAAGAAAGAATGGAAGAAAGAAAGAAAGAAATAGAGGAGAAAGAAAAAAGAAAGAAAGAAAGAAATAGAGAAGAAAGAAAGAAAGAAAGAAGAAAGAAAAGAAAGAAAGAAATAGAGAAGAGAGAAAAGCAAGAAAGAATGAAAGAAAGAAATAGAGAAGAAAGAAATAAAGAAATAGAGAAGAAAAAAGAAAGAAAGAAAGAAAGAAAGAAAGAAATAGAGGAGAAAAAAGAAAGAAAGAAATAGAGAAAAAAGAACCGAAAGAAAGAATGGAAGAAAGAAAGAAATAGAGAAGAAAGAAAGAAAGAAAGAAAGAAAGAAAGAAAGAAAGAAAGAATGAAGAAAGAAAGATATGGAGAAGAAAGAAAGAAAGAAAGAAAGAAAGAAAGAAAGAAAGAAAGAAAGAAAGAAAGAAAGGAGGAAATAAATAGATGAATAACTGAGCGTAAAACGGAAAATTGACAAAAATTAAGGAAGAAAAAGACAGACAATTAGAAAGAAAGAAAGAAATAGAGAAGAGAGAAAAGAAAGAAAGAATGGAAAAAAGAAACAGAAAAGAAAGAAAGAAAGAAAGAAAGAAAGAAAGAATGGAAGAAAGAAATAGAGAAGAAAGAAAGAAAGAAAGAAAGAAAAAAGGAAAGAAATGAGAAAAGAAAGAAAGAAATGAGGGAAAAGAAAGAAAGAAAGAAATGAAGAAAGAAAGAAAGAAAGAATGAATGAAAGAAGGAAAAAAAGAAAGAAATAATTAAATAATCGAACGTAAAACTAAAAACTAAGAGAAAACTGATCACAGAAATAGAATAAAATGAGAAGCAAAAAAAGATTGATTGATAAATAAAGTCTCTAAACTTATTAAACAAGTTTGAATCAAGATCAAATAATCAACAGTCAGTTCTTTAAGTATCATTTACGTGATACACTCTTGGGTGATCATGTCACTTTTGATTCATGGCCGAAGGATTTTCCCGCCGTATGTTGTCACTTCTTGCGATAGACTGGTTACAATCCAGCGCTACAGAAACCAATTGGTTCTGATTTTTTGGAATAGAAACGATCGATACATAACCAAGGCTATTTGCACGTAAGTGAATTTAATCATCTCACAATTCTTCATACCAGACATCTTCAACGCGATAGTTTGATCACGTATTGTTTGATTGTGCTATTTTTGTAGTATTGCGGTAATATTAATAGTAATATTCTACCAATATTTCTAGTAGTATTCTAGTAATATCTCTAGTAATATTCGAGGAATATTTCTAGGAATATTCGACGAATATTTCTAGGAATATTCGAGAAATATTTCTAGTAGTAATATTTTGTGAGAAGAGAACTTACTGTTTGAGTGGAACTTCTCGCCGATTGAATACGGAGTGAATATGGGGGGTTTGTTGCTATATATAACTGCCATTGCCCGCTCCTTGGTGAAGGTTATACCTGGCGGGAATACCTGGCAAGAAATGCAGTCCGAACAGTCAGAGGTTTGATACGACCCGTGAGAGAGGGTTTGGAAGGTGGAAAAATAATGTGTCACCCACAAGGACCCTGAGATGCTTACGAACTCTATTGAGACTGGAAAGTGAGGACTGGGCAGCTGAAAAGTATGACAACACCGTTCCATTCTAGGCCTGATCTGGCTTTTATAAAACTAGGGGATAGTACGTGGAGTCAGGTACTTACTGAAGTGCTACAGTGAGCCGTCCCTTTTTGCTGCATCTTTAACGATGGATCGTATATACGAGTTCCACTTGTGGTCAGCAGGGAGTTTAAGTCCCAACAGTCTCCCAAAACACAGAGCCTTCCCGAGGGGAGGCATCCATTCATCGTGACTGGTGGTAGTTCGTAATTCGACTGGCGATGAAGGAGTGAAACTAGTTTGCTTTTTCGAGGCATTGAATGAAGCCAGACAGTTTTTTTCCCTACAGAGCTGTTAGAACTAGGTATTTACACTGCACCCCCCCACTAAGACTAGTGATATTTATCTACCCCCCCCCCCCATCCACGGGTGTTACACATGGGTTTAACGTGGGATCTCCGAGCTCGTAGGCTCGGCCAAAAACTATTCCCTCTTTGAACCCGCATAAACGGGTTCAGGGGCAGTCAAGCACCTCGAACGAGACTCTGCCCTTCGGCGGAGCCTCGTCCGGGTTCCTCTCCGCCCGAAGGCAGAGAGTTAGACTGTTAGCCAAGTTAGCCAAGACTAGTTGTGACACAAGGTCTTTTTTTTAGGTGGGAACCGGAGCGCGTACACCCGGGCCAGGAACAAAAATTACCCACAGTTTCCGCAACCGTAGGTTGCGCTGGCCTCGATGTGAGCCCAGATCTCTCTCTCTCTCTCTCTCTCTCTCTCTCTCTCTCTAATGCAATGAGAGGGCACGGCGTCGGGCGGCTGTTCCCCAGGGCTGGGCACCTTTCGGTATAATTTTCCTCAGTTGCGATTCTGTCTTTTGACGAAGTCGCCTCTGAGAGCACTCTGCCTAAAGACAGAGACACAGCTAAGAGATGATATATAGATGTGTCACAAACTCCTCGAGAGGAATTTACACACTAAAAGCTCATTCAGTAACACTCTATCGTGAGTGGCTCGTGGGGCTTCTATTTATTCGGTCAGCTGTTCCTCAGAGCTGGGCATCTCTCAGTATAATTTTCCTCAGTTGCGACTCTGTCCTTCGACGGAATCGCCCCCGAGTGCACTATGCCCAAAGACAGAGACACAACTGAGAGATGATAAATAATGTGTTACAAACGACTCCAGAGAGCGATCTGCACACTGTTAGAGCTGTTAGAACTAGATCAGAGAAGCGATCGGCTGCCAATCTCTAGTCGTCTAGAGTTTGGAAGGTGCACCTATATCAGCTGTATAGATATTCACAAATGCTCGGAGTCCACTCTTAGGCAGATCATTTATGTAAAGTAAAAAGAAGGTTGGTCCGAGAAGCGACCTTTGCGTGACGCCTGTGTTGATTGCTAGGGCCCCTGAGGACTGACTGTTAACAACTCTAGGCAGGGGGAATCACGAGGTGGCAGGTACTTACGCAGCATCTTTCGCGATGGATCGTATCGACGGGCTCCACCTGAAGTCTGGGTTCAGTCTAAGACCCAATAGATGCTCAAGGAGCAGGATATCCCAGGGGAAACATCCATTCACCGTGATTTGTGATACTTCGGTGTCCGATCGGTGATGATGGAATGTAAATAGTTTGTTTTTCGAGGCATTGAATGAAATCAGAGGGTCTATCCCATACAGAGCTGTGAGAGCTAGATCAGAGGAAAGATCAGCTGCCAATCTCTGATCATAATAGTGAAGTTGATGGCAGTGATGATAGAGATGGATTTGAGAAACCTATTATCTATTGGGATTTGTTTAAAGTCTCTTCATCTTCAAGATCCACTCATACACACTTTTACGCGGTAAATTTATACTGTCGCCGTATAAAAGATTCCGATGAATTTCAGCCCCATGTCACACCTTCCGAACAGAGAAATCGAAAAATATTTTTAAATTTTAAGATTTTTTGAAGATAATAATAATAATAATTTACTGATTAAAATCTTAATTAAACCATAGCTGGGATTGGGGGGGGGGTTCATGCCTTTCCCAAGGTTATTCGAACATAAGTGAATATATCGAACCCGACTGGAATTGAAACTTAGCTCTGAGATTTCTATTTCAGAGCTGTTATCCGTTACACGATCCGCACATGAAAGCTTACAGTCCCTACTATTCCAAGAGGTCACCCATCTAGGTACTGACCAGCATTGACGTTGCTTCGGCGTCGTACGAGAACCGGTGTTTCAACGTGATACGGCCATCAGCCATAACATCCGCCCATCCAAGCTTACGGCACTTGGTATTCATCAGTGGTTTCCCATCTAGACACAGACCAGCTTCGACGTTGCTTAACTTCGATGACCAAATGAGATCTGGTGTTTCAACGTGATATGGCTGTCAGGCATAACATCCGCCCATCCAAGCTTATAGCACTGGGTATTCATCAGTGGTTTCCCATCTAGATACAGACCAGGTTCGACGTTGCTTAACTTCGATGATCAAATGAGATCTGGTGTTTCAACGTGATATGGCTGTCAGACATAACATCCGCTCATCCAAGCTTACAGCACTTGGTATTCATCAGTGGTTTCCCATCTAGATACAGACCAGGTTCGACGTTGCTTAACTTCGATGATCAAATGAGACCTGGTTTTCAACTTGATATGGCTGTCAGGCATAACATCCGCCCATCCAAGCTTACAGCACTTGATATTCATCAGTGGTTTCCCATCTAGATCCAGACCAGGTTCGACGTTGCTTACCTTCGATGATCGAATGAGATCTGGTGTTTCAACGTGATATGGCCGTCAGCCATAACATCCGCCTATCCAAGCTTACAGCACTTGGTATTCATGTGTGTTCACCCATCTAGGTACAAACCAGTTTTGACATTGCTTAACTACGGTGATCGTACGACAACCAGTGTTTCAACATGATATGACTGTAAGCTATCAGGAAAGAGCTTTCTCGGGAATTTGTTCCACAAAGTAAGTTCTGGGGAAGAAGTTATCTGATTGGAACTTGCTTTTTATCAAAGGAACACGGAGGCAATGGGGATGATTTGCCACCGTGAAAACGACGTCGCCGGTCCGATCTCGTGGAACTAAGGAATGTAACATCTGCCATAGTAACAGTGATATAGCTGTGAAAGGCTGGCTACATTTCGTTTGTGGGATAACAGTTCCAGCGAGGAGAATAATTCTTCCTGCACAAGTACGCGTGACCACTTTTGAAATCTGTCTAGGGTGGACAGTGAGGATTAGTCAGCCCTAACCCAAATATGGCCGCAATTTCGTCATTCTTGAATGGATCTGACTCTTGGAAAGGTAGGAAAATGGCAACGAGAGTTAGGTGTTTTCCTGGAGCGATACAATGAACCTGCCATACTTCAAGCATCTTTGGCCATGTCACGAATATATTCATCCCATTTGAGGTCTGATTTGAACATTTGATATCTACCGCGTCTGGACAGTTAGGATTGGGCAGCCCTAATACAGATATGGCATCAATTTCTCCATTCTTGGTCTGAACTGACTCTTGGAAAGGTAAGGCAATGGCAACAAGAGTTAGGTATTTTCTGGAGCGATACATTGAACCAACCATTCTTCCTGCATCTTTGGCAATGGCACGAATATATTTATCCCATTTGAGGTCTGACGTGAACATTTATCTACCTAGTCTGGACAGTTAGGATTAGGCAGCCCCAGTACAGATATGGCAGAAATACTACATTCTTGGTCTGATCTAACATTTGCTAAGATAGAGGTATGGCAGCGGGAGTTGTTAGACATTTTCATGACGGTCGTCTTCGAGTATAGAATCCAGAGGTTGGCAGTGAATATTTCGGAGACAGTAGGAGAGCGTAGTGCAGGTTCGCAGTGGATATCGCAGCAAGCTAGCAGAGCGTAGTTCTTCCGTCTGTCCTGTTCGCCAGACAAGTTGCCTCTGGTCATTCCAGTAGGAAAACAAAGATGGCCGCCTTTATACACGACGGATACAGTGTTGTGCAGCTTCTGATTGGTCAACCTTCTATTGGTCGACTATAAAGGGAAATAAGTCATTTTGACTCGCTCACTAGTTATATACGGTATATACCCAAAAAACCGTAACAGGAGTTAGGTAATTTCTGGGGAGATACAATGAACCGACCCTTCTTCCTGGATCTTTGGTGATGGCATGAATATATGCATTCCATTGGTGATCTAACAGGAACATTTGAAACGAGTCTAGACATTGAAGATTGGGTAGCCCCAGACAAGGTATGGCATCAATGCTCCATTCTTGGTCTTATCTGACTCTAGGAAAGATAGATCAATGGCAACAGGAGTTTGGTATTTTCTTGAGCGATTCAATGAACCGACCATTCTTCCAGTATCTTTGGCGATGGCATGAATATATGCATTCCATTTGCGTGATTTGACGTAAAATTTTGAACTCAGCCAATCCTGGGTAGTGATGATTTGGCATGCCCTGCCGAGATATAGCAACACTACTCCATTCGTGGTCTGATCTAACTCTTGGAAAAGTAAACCTAGCATCTTTGTTGATGGCACGAATATATGCATTTCATTTGAGTCGGAAGTGATCTTATTTACCCTCTTCAGACGATACAGCGTTGATAGCAAACACAGAAAGGAAACTGCAAGAACTCTTACAGAAACTACTTAAGGAAAGTGAGAACGAAGGACTAAACATCAATTCCAAGAAGACAGAATTCATGATTACTGGCAAAAAGGACAGCCCATCATGCAAATTACAAATTAGGGATACCAAAATCAAATAAGTACAACAATTTAAATATCTGGGAAGTGTTTTGGCATTGGATACAAAGTGCAACACTAAAATTCAAAGGCGCGTCGGCTAGCGAAAAATGCCTTCCAAAACTTAAGCAGAGTATTAAGAAACAGAAAAATCTCGTTAAGAACAAAGAAAAAAGTACTGACCTATTATATTATATCAGTCCTCCTAGACGGCAGTGACCAATGGACAATCTCCTCATAGGTGATGAAGAAACCTGAGGCAACAGAAATGTCGTTCTACAGAGGGATGCTGAGAATATCATGGACTGAAAATGTGATATGAATATGTTCTACATACACCGACAACAAAAAGGACTCTTATAATTAACAGCGGGAAGAGACTGTTGATCCCTTTGGGAAACATGAGGAAGGGGGCTTGGAAAATTTGCTACTCACAGGAGAGATTGAAGGTAAGAGGAACAGAGGAAAGCAACGTTCAACTTCCCTGGCGAGCTTGAGTAAATGGATGACGGCACGGAAAGGAAGAAGAATATAATGGCAACAAGTAAACAAGACCTTCTTAAACGTTGTCAACGAAATAAAGCATTTATTATTGTTAGGAATGCTTTAGGCGAGGAGAATGTTCAATATAGCAACGAGGTCCAAAACGTTACTCTAGTCGTTTGATGGGGATTATAACAGGGTACAGGTATGCCCCACCTTACGTCGTTAATTGGTTCCAAAGGTCACGACTTATGACGAAAAACGACTCTAGTCGAAATAACCACACTATAAATCGCAAATAAGCACTCTCCATTGTATATTACAATATTTATGATATGTACGCAGAGTATTCTGAATCAAATAATCTCCTTCCATCTTATCTTCCAGAGATATAACATTATGCTTAACATTAGCACTTGTGCTGTTAATTTTCTTCCGAGCCATGGACAAAAATGTATTCGAAATCACAACTGAAATGCAATTGAAAGAGCATCAACGGCAGAACACAGATGTAAACAAGACTGAATTGAAAATCGATGTTGGAGCTGAAAACAACAAAAGAATGCAGTCTGCCGACAGGAATTTGAAATAAGAACATCCGTTGAACATACTTTATTATGCTATTTTTTGTTTTTGTCTATTTTGTCATATATATATATATATATATATATATAAAGAGAGCGAGAGAAAGAGTATACATTATATTATTTTTAATTTTTATAGTTTTTTTTTAATGCGTTGACGTTTCTAACATTTTTTATGCCCGACGTAAACTCGAGTAAAACGACGTAAGGCGAGTTTTATTTTTCCATATAATATTTAAGAAAAAAACCGACGTATCTTCGAAAAGGAATTAACTTGAAACGACTTAAGTCGAGGCATCACTGTATTGAATTAAAAACCACCCAAAACACATCGTTAGATTCAATAGTACCAATCATAGGGTTATGCTTAACGAGCCTACACTATGCCCTTCTACTTCTATGTGCCGGGTCTTTTCGGAACATTATTCTAGTCGTTTGATGGGGATTATAACAGGATACAGGTATGCCTTACCCTACTTCGTTAATTTGTTCCAGAGGTCAAGACTTAGATCGAAAAACGAGTTTAGTCGAAGTAATCACACTATAAACCGCGAATAAATACTCCCCATCGCCTATTACAGTATTTATACAGAGAGTATTATGAATTAAATAATTAATTTCCACCTTATCTTCCAGCGATATAGCATTGCGCTTAGCATTAGCACTTGCACTGGGAATTTTCTTCGGGGCCATGGGCATAAATGTATTCTAAATTTCAACTGAAATGTAATTGAAATAAAGTCAACGGCAGAGCACAGATGTAAATAAGTCTTTATTCAAAATAGGTGTTGAAGCGATAACTAACAAACGAGTGCCGCCTGTCGACAGAAATTTCAAATAAGAAATTCTACTGAACATACTTTATTATGCTATTTTTTATTATTTTATGTTATATATATATATATATATATATATATATATATAGTATATGTATATTTTACTTATTTTATGATATATATAGTATACATAATATCTGTATACATTATATTACTTTTAAATTTATTTAAATATGATTTTATATGTCTATTGTTATTTTAGTGTTTTGATGTTTTTAAGATTTTTAACGGCCGACGTAACCTCGAGTAAAACGACGTAAGGCGAGTTTTATTTTTCCACATAATATTTAAGAAAAACCGACGTGTCTTCGAAAATGACTTAACTCGAAACGACTTAAGCCGAGGTATCACTGTACTAGTTCCCTCCACTGATAAGCTAAAAAAAGAGAGTATATCAAATGTCCCAATCTTGGCAAAAACAAAGTTTTATCGTAAGAACCTTGGTTTTATTATTAAAAGGAAAGACCAACGTATTTCTGGTCATTTAATTATATTTTTTTAATCCGTTCCAGAACGTTCGAAATTTTGGTTAAAAAATTTGTTTTTCTTGCGTCAGCGGATAGACTATAAATTAGCAGAGAAAAATTTAGCCTCTTTTTTGCGGTGAAGAACACGATGATTTGAAAATTCTTGCAAAAATCCAAATGCCATAATTCCCCATGCATAATACGCCTTCATCCATAATACGCACACCCAAAATTGTACTGAAAGTGTGGGAAAATGATTCTAATATGCACCTCTCGTTTTATAATCAAAGCCTATAAATTGTACCTCTCTAATTTCAGTGTTTCTTACACTTATTAAAAAATGGTTTTAAACATAAATTAATATTATTCTAATTTAGTTTCATGATAATTCTTATTTTATTTTACA